CGCGCTTGTCCAACTTTAAAAGCTGTTTGCCCCAAACCTTAAAGACATACGAAAATAATTATGGCAAACAACCCCCCATGTCCTGCTAGGCAACTTTTAGCGCCTCTTGCAGCCGTTTTAAATCCTGAATCCTTAGATTAATGTGAAGTACAACTCACTAAGATAGTTTTTATTGAGTTTTTGTCTTTGAGACGATTACAAGAGATTGGCATTCAAATGAAATGGCCACGTGTTTGTAAAGTTCTTGCTCAATGAATCACATCCCATTGTCGTGTAATTGGTCTTGAGGGTTGCGGCTTCCCTTACCATCTCGTTTAAAAGAAGCGGTACTTTGATAAAAAGCAACGTGCGCTTTGTGTCCGCACATTTCGGCGTCTTGACGGCAATAATTATTCACTTTGTAGATGTTATTCTCTACCCTCGTGTACATGCATCCCAAACCACCGTCAAGATTGGATTGTATTATTCCAACCCTCCCATCTTCAGTTGCACATTTTACTACCAGTTCCCTGAAATAAAATTACTAAAATTCACACTTGTGAAGCCTTCTGGTATCTTCGCTCCATGCCTTCTGAATCACATAAGCAGACATGAAATACGCAGAGAGAACCTTTATGGATAGAGACTGGAACTGTACATTATCAGTGCATAACTGAGGTCATTCTCCAACCTTAACTGTTTTCATGTTGCGCGCCTTCTTTAGTTGCTGTTTCTTTTTGCGATGTATCGATGCGCGCTTTTCTTGCCGTTCTTTCTGCAAAGCAGCATACTGACGACGTTGTTTCCTACAAGAAGTAAATTAAATCAACGGTTAAGGATAGAAACCTGAACAAAAAATGACGTTAATGTGATTTATTTCCACTGAAATTGGAGTACGCATGACTATTTCCTGCACCTTTTCACGAGGAGCTAAGTTCTAATCAAACACCATCAGGTCGAGCGTTGTGCAATGCTGGATCGTAGAGCATGATGCCAAACCCACCTCATATACTCTGCGTTGGCCAGAAGTTCATCCACCAAATTCTTTTTGCGCTGCTTACGAGGGATGCGATCATAAAATGAGCCTGGGTCGTCCACAACGGTGCCAACCTAGAGTCATACTACAAATTTAGATGTGTCCCTCCTTGTGTGGGTCATTTAGCCAGCGTAAAACAGCAACAAAACCTGAAAGTAGGGCTTCCGGCCATCTTCTTTGCGAGTATGCAGAGCGGGGACCAGAATTTGTCTTTTCGCAATAATTTCAAGGTCCTCCTGATTCTCCCTTGAGAAGTCACCTCGTGGTAAGTCGAACCAGTTTGATAACTTCGACTTTTTCTGAGCCTTAACGACAACGAAGAGGTGAAACACAAACGTGAACAAAGGGTGAGGCAAAGTGCATAGATAAAACGAACTTACCCTGCGCTCCCGTTTAATAGCTCGTTTCGATTGCATCGGCGCGACAGAATTTGCATAGTAAAGACTCTAAACAAACGGGTCAGTGCAGCAAAGGGTGCTCATACCGTTTCACCCAAAGTGGATGGTGTCTCAAGACTTGGGAGACCAACAGTGGAACTAACGTTCTTCTTAGGGTCATTAAGCATTCCAAGTCGGCTCCAGATTCGGTTTTCACACCCCAATGGAACGCTTCCAGCCTTGTCCTTTTTAAAAGGATTCTTTAGAAGGTAATAGGGAATGGGATTGTCCTTTAAATACTCTGAAGAGCAATCAGTTAATGATACCGGAGGCTTCCATCTGAAACGTTTTTAAAAATGCATTGAAGGCACAATAGTGGTCTATTCCTAGAGATCAAAACGCACACAAGATCTCGGAAAATCTCCTCTTTTAGATAAGCAGTAGGCTATTTTTAGGATAATTACTACAAGGGAAGGCGCAAAGATGGGGCAAGGTGTCCAAGTACCAAAACAAAGAAACGAGGCATGAAAGATGCAAACAATACACGAATATACAACACTGCTACGACGGAAATAGTGCTATGATTGGTAGCGTCAACGATTTAGACGTTTCACATCAGTTGAGAGTAAAGATAGAGGCTGTTAGAAATAAGTACACGATCATAAAAAATAACAGGACCAGTTGCCCGTCGCAGTAATCCATCTAGTTAATTTATATAACACTTTACAGGTTCTGATTCTCGAAGAATAAGACATCTTCCGTCTCCTCCATAGAAACGACGAAGGTGCACGTGCCCAAGAGCTGAAAACAGCAGTCAACAACCAAGAGGCCAACTTGCCCGCCAAAATCAAGACGCATTATAAGATTCAAATCAGTCAAGCATTATGAAACAGGTGCTTTGTTCACCCATATATAAAATATTATTTTTTCGCTGCCTTAGGATGTTACTTGTGTAAATGTAACTAATAATAAATGGATGTGCTTGTGACGATACAACTCCAACGTGTATAAAAAACATGCTTAGAATTCTCCTGGTATTTGTATGCGTGGGCTGGCCTCTGGATCAAGCATAAGGCTTAATTCCTCTGTTATTCTTTAAGTGCACAAATTCGGCTACATTAAGTGCCTTTTTCGACTCGATAAAAAGCCTCAAGGCGCTAAACTTGTGATAGCCGAAAGCCGGCTTAACGTCTATTAACGATTTCTACCTTTGAATATACCATTTTTGGCACATGTCTATGGTATGTTTGAGTAGCATTTACATCGGGGGGAGGAAGAATCTCTAGATTCTTCACAACAGAGGGGATGAGAAATATGTCTGTG